GAAAATGAGGAAAAGACGGTATGTTTTGATGTGTATGTACACAGTAACGTTAAACTGTTAGGTGTGCTAAATGCTCGTGTGCTTTCCAACATTACGCTACATTTGTTTTTCTTTTTGGCCTGATTCTCTGAGCAAATGAGGCTTGCACAGTGGAGAGGGATGGCCTGCAGAGTAATAACGTCTAAATCTTGCAACTGATTAAACCAAATTTGAAAGGGAGCAGAAGTCTCAGAGATAATTAAGGTCTTACAAGTTGTGTGAAAATTGGCAGCTGGGAGGAAAAGGAACCTAAAGTAATAACCACGCTTGAGGAAAAGCGGGCAAAATTTTGTCATTATCGATTCTGTTTGGCAGTAACACTTTTAGCTAAATGACAGGTGTACTGCTTCTCCTATCATCGCACACTTAGGTCTGACTTAGATATCACAGATGCTTTTGTCTTGCATAGAAGAAATTATGGGATTGGGGCTTTTGTGGAGAAGACTTAGAAACAAAGGACACAAATCTTCATTTTTTTCCATTGATTATAGAACAGCTTGTTTATTGAATATGTTCACATGAAATGAGTGAGGAATTCAAAGCATTTATTTTAAAATATGCCTTTGAATCGTATGTGCTGGTATAGCTAGCCAAAGTATTCGGTGCCCAGATTATTAGTAGTCTAAAAATTTGCAGAAGGAGAAGTGGCTTTCTTGAAGTTAACATCTGCAGGCGCTCAGAGTCTTGACAAGCAGCACTGATCTAAAACAGTGCAAGAATAAGAATTTCAATGTTGCAAATGTTTTGCAAGGGCAGTAATTTATTAATATGAGTGAACTTTTCTGCTAGAGCAGATACTGCCCACACAGAATTGTTGCATAAGTCTGTATGCAGAAGTTTGCAATTTGCCAGAAGGATACTTGGCACTTAAGACGTTGATTTTGCTAATTCAAAGAAGCTTGTGGGCCAGTGGCTCTGCAGTAATATCTGCAGATCATACCCAACATATCTTAAGTCAACTCTCAACAAATAAAAACAGCATATAGATATTTGATTGTGCCATCTGGCATATTTAATGCAATGCACTCAAAAATAATTATATATTTTCTTAATGTAAGAGACACCTGGATGAAACGGGCTGAATTTTGGGATAAACCTAAAATAAATAATAGCTGCTAAAAAATGTCACTCGGAAAACTTCTTTTCAAAAAAAGCATCCATCTACTGTGTGTTTCTACACAGAGAAATTGTACATGCAGGTCTATAATGTACCCTGTGCCATCCTGCCCATTAACCTATAGACTTCTTTCATAATTTACAAATGTTATGTTCTTTCACTCTTTAATTGCTCCATCAGAAATTGCTGTCTATGGTAAATACATATTCAACGTTCAAAATACTTGGCATCTTTTTGTTGGAGGCCGTACCTAGGGAGAAGGAAGGCTGAATGAGAACTTTCTTATTTATTAAAATGAAGCAGTAGAACGCGTGGTGTCTCTTCAAAGCTTCTTCCTTCTGACATCTGAAGTGCATGCATACACGTGCTTTTACCTCCCAGCCTTTCCGTGATGTGATGATTCCTAATGACAGCTCATTGTGTAATGAAGGCTAGAACATACCGTCGCACTTGGGGCTGATTTAGTAAAGCCATTTATGTGTAATACCCGTAGTCTACAGAAACGGTAGCGTTGTGGTCACTGGCCGGTTGTGAAAGGTTGTTGTGAGACTCAGATTTATTCAAAGGTTAACATGCAAAATACCTTGATGCGACTGCAGCCACTGATATTTGTTTTATTTCCATTAACCCTTTTTTTTTTTCCAAAAAAAATTACACTCCCTGATGATTTTAAAAGATCATAGAAGTCATAGCTCTTTATCTGCAAGTGTTTCATATTTCCTGCATATCTTATTTTGAATACTGCAGAAACTGCAAGATCCCCTGTATAGCTCTTCTCTCTCCCTCCCTCCACACACACACACACAAATTAAAACGAAAAACAAAAAAGCTTAGCAGGCAACCCAAAACTTGTCAGCACCATATCTAAAGTGATGTGAGTAAAGCTTTTAGCATTGGTATGTGTCTAATTATGCGTGCTGGATGTTTATCCAGCAGAGAAGAGAGAAATGTTTTTCCCACCACCCGAAATTGAGGGCAAGACTAGAAGAAAACAGCGTAGCAGATACACTCACTTGCCGTTATTGCTTTGTTTGCATCCTCTACCTACTGAATACCAAGCACTCTTCTAATTGGTATATTGTTAGTCTGCCTTTAAAACAAGTCAGAAAATTGACCAGGAATTACTTGAGGCTGACATGCTGCCAGAGCGCGGTAAAGGCATCAGCTCACATTCTCGGCGTGGTGTCATTCTCCTTAACTTTCATGTGGACCGCACACTTGATTTTGGTGTGCAGATCTAGTTGACTGATGCTGACTATATTCTGAATAGATAAAGATAATGAAGTATTAGAAAGGCACTGAAAAAAACTTAAGTGGCAAATTGGCCATAATTGCCCTTATAGGTGTGATGCCCTTGAGAGATTGTTGGGTTTTTTGTTTTGTTGTTGTTTCAAACCACAGTTGCAAAAGCAATAAGATATGTGCTGAAAAGTATTTCTTGGTAGGAATACACATTAGATGTTTTCTAAGTCTTTTCCATTGCAGTTATCTGATTCTGTGGCCTATTTAACTTAGTTTTTCAGCCTTTTAAGGGCATATACACCTAATATTCCCAGCTAGGCAGTGCTTTAGGGTAAATGATTACTGGAGTGTCTTCATAAATCATGAGTTAATAATTTTGTGAAGTAGAAAGAAGTCCTTTTTGTTATTGGATTAAGAGATCAGCAACTACAGAAGGGGTGTTTGTGGTGTAAGATTTCCAACTTTTAAATTACTCTTTAACTTTCCCTATTAATTCTACAACTACTTCCTGGGTTTTGTGCACTTCTTCCCCACCCCCACCCCTTTTTTTTCCTAGCAGTTTATAAGAGTCTTTGTGCAAGTTCATCAGAATTCTCCATATTTTTGTTTGGTTATGGGCATCATTTGATTTTGGCCAGGTGGCTTATGTTCCTAGCGTGTCTCCACTTTACAACGTAGCATAGTTGTGGGATGGCAGAGCAGAGGGGAGGCTGCTTGAAATCTGAGCTTGAGTAACTTGAAGTATTAGTTTCTTGTGGTTCCTGCAAATTCTGTCTGGGACTAACAGTCTTTGTGGTTCTCTTTGCTATTTGGCTTGCAAGCTGGAAACCTTGCACTTGGTACACTAGTACTTTTTGTTTTTCTCTTTTTTGAAGAGGAAAATTTAAAGCAAGGTGGTGGGGTGGTTGGGTTTTTTGGTTTTGCTTTTGTTTTGCCTTTTTTTTTTTTTTTTGGACTGAACAAGTGTGTTGATATTTTTCACCTGTGTACAGAATTTTACTCCTCTGTCTTTGTAAGGTAGACTTAGACCTGAAGTGCTGTAATTATGAGAGGCTCTAAAGTGTCTAGATATGCTTGCTTTGCCTTGCTTATAAATGAAAATAGATACTATACTTTCATCCTTGAGGCAGTTTAAACGCTTACCTTAGCTCTTTATGCACCTGTCTGGTCACAGTGTTACCTGAACACCCCCCACACACGCAGACCTCCCCCTGATTCTAAATTAACTGCCTGCCACTCTCAGAACAACAGCTTTTCTCCTGTTTTGCTGTGTGGCAGAGTGACAAAATGCTGCTATTTTAGCTTTCTGAAGAAGATGCAAAGACATTTTCTTCAGCAGATAGAGCTAAGCTGAAGGTAATATGGAGAAACATTACTAAAATGCCATCGACAGCTTATCTTCTGATGTAGGGTTGCTATTTCCTGTACAGCCTCCAACACAAAATATATTAGCAAGGGAAAACTGATTTCTTCATTTTCATCAAAAGTACTTTTCTCCTGTATGGAGCCTTTAAAATAGTGCATCCTTGCTTAGTATATTTGCTATCTTTCAGTAAATCTTGGCAAATTTGGCCTCAAAAACAACCATTGTACTATTTTACTCCTTTGGTGCTGCTGAGGCAGCAGAACAGTAAAGTGGAAAGCTTGGTTCCAGTAGAAATAATAGCAGTAATAATTCTAATGAACCTTTGTCTATTTTTTTAATTAAGAATACATTTATTATTTATTCCAGCTAGAAAGGAAATAGGTGACACAGAACTTCCTAGTCTTGTGATCTTTAAAAAAAAAAATCATTTTTTTATGTTAGTTTTCCCACTTAAATGTATTTCTTTTAAAATCAGCCCAGTTGATCTGGGATTCACCAACAAACAATGGATCGATTCCCTTATAGCCATTTCTACAGTCATTTTTCAGTATGGACCCACACTATTTGACTATTTGGCATTCACATGTACTAGCTTTGTCTTAAAATATCTTCTGACAGAGAAGTGCAGATAATCATTTAAATACACTTTCTGGTTTCAGCTGTTATCTTTGAGAAGTTACTTACCAGTAGCAAAGCTTCTTCTCATTTTTCTCTTATTGGAAATGGGTAATTAAGTACTCATCTTTCACAGACGTGTTCCCATCTGGATGCCTTACAACAGCCCCAAGATCCTTCTTAGTGTTCGTTCATGTGCACATCCACAGTGTGAATGTGTAGCGCCAACCATTTGATACAGAGATCTTTTTGGCCCGTGAGGTGCCAGAAGAGGTATGCACATGCTCTAACTTTCTTTTCATGTTTAAAGTCTGTATCAAAGCAGATTCCAAACCCCTCCTTTGGACAGAAGGTATTGCTATCTGTCCTCATATTTCAGTATCTTCCACACAAGAGAGAAGAGGAAGCATCTGGAGAAGTTTGTGCATGCTCCGTTTGGACTCTAGTAGTGCTGGGGAACATGGAGGATAGGCAAAAAAAAAAAAAAAAACCCCACGTCCACAAAAAAGCTAGCATCTGTGGATCTGCAAGGAAATATCTTATCAGATCTGTAGTTGCGCAGAAAGCATCTCTGCTTTTTAGTCAATTGAGATGAGCTATCAATGCAGATTTTCCTCTTCGAGTGTAACATTAAGGGTAAGGTGCTCACCAAGGTCATGGACGCAGTAGATGTCAAAGAATAACTTTCATTCTGTTTCTCTTCATGGTTGATTGGATAGTAAAAACAAACAAAAAACCTGCTTCCAGGCAGAATTCAGGATTTTGCTGAACTGTTTTGAGAGCCTCTAACTCTTTCATGTGTCTTATGGACAATATTACTGCTTATAATTGCAGTACAGAATTTGCCATAGCGTTGGAAAAATGGCATTGCTGGTTTCTGTTCAGCTGTTATATGCAGTCACTCTCCATCCTGTGTGTGAATGGCTAATGATTCTTGCTTAAGAAATTTCAGTGAAGATAAGTGGAATTATTTCTATTTCTTAACAACAACTACTCCATTTTCTCAAGTTTGATTTGAATTCTGATGCTCTCCAGTCAGTTTGGTGTCAACTCCATGTATATTAACCAAACACTTCCTTCCCATTATTAATGAAAATATTGAATGGTACTGAAACTATTACTGACCTTTGCATAACTTGATGCGTTCCTCTGGTTTGGCATGGACCCTTGAATATTTAGTGAGGTATTTGTAAAAGTCATGGGGATGACAAATAGCATATTATTTGAAGTATGTATCCGGGAATTGCAGTCAGAACAGACCATTCTGTAATTCTCCAAATCTTTTTTTCAGCCTTTTAAAGGTATACTCTGTTTTCCGCTTTTCCCCGTAGTTACAGAATTATTCCCATCTGTTGCAATTTTCTAATTGTCATTTGTGCTGGAATTGTTAATAATCTAATCACAGCTGACTCTGGTTAAGCAAATCTTGATTTTTTTTTTTGAGTGATACTACAAGAAAAAATAACATGGTATGTACTTTTTTTTTTTTTTTACATATAATTTACTTTTTTGTTGCTTTTATTTTGTCTGTTCAGACCTGTTAAGTCTTCAGTATTCAGCATGGAGCTCACATTAGACTTTGGCTGTCTCCCTGCTTTAGCCTCTCTTCCCCACTCGTTTGCCTGTGCACTATGCTGAAGGCAGCCTGAAATATGATGTGCCACCCTGCATCTGATTAACAGTATCACGCATGAAAGAGAAATGTTAAGAAGCAGTTGTGGAGCATATCTGTGCTCAAAAGAAACTGCTCAAAAGCACAGTGTGTCGTTAACAGTTGTTTAGTGCCTCAGCCAGTGCCATGTCATGTAGGATACCCCCTCCCCATATCCTACAGCAAAAGCCTCTCACTCATGTGATCTAATGTACATAATCTCTTAGGTTTAGAGAGAAGCAATTAGGGAGATTAATCTGTCTTCCATGACTTGTTTGCTTTGGAGTCCATGCTACTTGGCTTAGTTTAGATGATTTGGGCCTCTATTTTATTAAAAAGCAGCACTATGAAGATTTGCTTGTGATGTTAAGCCTTGGTATTTAGGGAACACGTTTGAGTCCAGATTACTGTAGAAATTAAAGAAATAAACTATTTTTTAAAAAAATACTTGCAGTGAGTGTGGGGACATAAACAACTGATCTAATAAATAAAAAGGACTCATGATAGCTGGTCATTTAATGCAACTAATTAGCTGCGTGGGTTCTCAGGAGACTGTTTTGTTCATGTGTGAAATGATATGGCAAGTTCATGTGGTGTTGCTCTTAAGTTTAGTAAATTCTGAACCTAAAATGTTGTGAGCATGTGTTTTGCACCTGCTGTCCTGGCTCTGGTTTTGCATAGGGCAAGCTCAGTCCCCACACTAGAGGGGCCAGACTGCTTCTGGACTCAAGCTGCCTCAGAGATCGATGTGTCAGTGTTATCTATTTAATAGTGTTCACATAGTCCTGAACTAATAAAATTTGATGGATCTGATTTGTTTGTGCATAAAATCAATCAGTCTGCAACCTGAATAAAACACTTGCCAATAACTGAGCAATGACCATATCAGTTTTCTTGGTGAGTATGTTATAAATATTTGCATGTGAGATGTGTGGTGTCATGTAAAATAGATGCTGGCATGAATATGAAGAGGCAGATTTCTGCAATTTTAGTTTAAGAGTTCAGAGTTTCTGGCATGGCTTTTTTTTTTAATTATACATTGCTATAAACAGTGGAAATCCATCTTGATAGGAGAGATCTTGTATTACAGGTGAGGATGACTACTTTTTGAGGCAGGATACGCTTTTCTTTGTACTAGTTTTGCATAGCATTCACTGCAGGGAGAAGTGAGTGGTGGTGACATGATCCTTTGTGGTCCTGTCTGTGCATATTAGTAATATAACCAAAAGTATTTCCAGGTACTAATGTCCCCATTCATCTTTTTGTTTTCTCTTGTTCATATTTTCATTTTGTTCCATTTATCTATTGCTGAGTTATCAAAGTTTCTAGAATATGTTGAGCTGTGTATGTAATATTTTCATACCATTGAAGCTATTTTTAACTGTAAACAGAGAATTTGAAACAAGTCTAAGCTGACAGCTATTGCTTTATAGAGGGTGAGAGAAGTCTGAATTATGAGATGACAGCACAACACAGTTATCCTTTGCCAGAATGCTCAGTTATTCTACAACAGTATTTCCCTGTCAAATTGTATTAGTGTATTACTACAATTAAATAAAAAAAATCTAACTTTTGACCTTGAACGGTGCAGAAAAATTTTGGTTCCACAGTTGCCTGAGATTCATGCTGATTATCATGCTGATTCTTACCTGTTTCTGTCTCTGCTGCAGATTTGTAAATATTAAATGCTGATACAGAATCTTGCAGGCAGTGAGGAGCTGGTTTAAAAAAGAAAATCTTTGTATCAATAACTATCTCAAAAAGAAACTTGGAAATTTTTGTGCTTATCTGTACTGGTTTTCATTTTGATCATCAGTACATTTTTTTTTTCCTCATTCATTTGAAATAACTTGATTAAAGTGTGTTTTTAATTGTCTTATAGTTTCTGACTTATCCTGTCTTGCTCTTCTAGAAGGAGTTCTGGAAAGTCTACAAAAATGGACTTCAGGGAGAAAGTAACACAGGACATACCTGGTATTCATTTTACCTTGCATTTCCATTAATCATCGGCCTTTTTGTTATCCTCATTGTCATTTTTGTCATATGGAGGTGCCTGTTTAAAAAGAAAATGCGTAGACAGTCCGTGTACATGCACAGGGGAGCTCACGAAGCGATGGGTGATGGTGCTGTGGCTGACAGCAGAGGTCCACTTCCGCAGCCTCTCAGCATTGTTCATTCCCCACAGGAGGAAATGTATGAAGTCAGTGGGCTCTCTCCAGGAGGCCTGAGCTATACAGATGGACGGTCAGACTCAATATCCACAAGGCTATCAAACTGTGATCCTCCTCCTTCATATGAGGAAGCCACTGGTGAAACCAGTATGAGAAGTGAAACTGAACAGCACTTAGATCCACCTCCACAATATGAAGACATTGTGAATTCCAGTTCTGCCACTGCAATTGAACTATCTCCTGTTATCACCAGTATTAAATAAAGCAAGAAGAACACTATTGACTTTTTTAAAAACTACTAATCATTTTGTAGCACTTTATCTTGGCTTATTGTGCATTTCTGTAATTTAATGGACTTGTATAATGAACTTCTTTTGGTTTGGGTTCATTTACGTTTTGGTTTGGGTTTTTTTTTAATTATTTTCTTCCTCCCTACAGCAGGTCTTAAAGATCAGGAATCTGTGTTGAGAGCATAGTGCAGGTACAAACGTGGTGCTCTGTCATACTTCTCAAAAGTACCTCCACTTTGAGTAGTCACTTATTTTATTCTGAATATTGTCTGCATTCCCTGTAGATTTGTGGAATTCCCTTCCCTTTTTGACTGCAAACTCAGAATTGCCTGAAGTAGGGAATTCTTAACCAATGTTTCAGAAAGTTATTTACACTCATGGGACTAATTTTGCAGTATTCTCTCTTGTCTGATTGGTTTCTTTTTGTCACTTGGATCTTTGTAACTTGCTGCACCCCATCCTAGGCCCTTGGAAAGCTGAGAGCAGTATGTCTTTGTGTATACAAACCAGAATATCAGCAGAGTATGCTGGTAAATAGCAATAATTTCACAGTTCTAATAGAGGAGATGTATTCTAAAGCTTTTGCTATTACAGCTCAAAATTCAGGACCTGTTTTGAAGATAATAATTCGAAATAGCAACTGGAGAATTTGACCATGCACTCTTTTGTGTGTTCTGCTTTTCCCATCAGTTTTCCTGTCTATTTTTGCTTGTGAATCCTAGAGATGAGATGTGTGCTTATGTTAGTATGCACAGCTAACTAACAGTAAATAAAATAATAAAGACAGTGAATAAAATCCTGATCATTTGGAAGTAGGTGCCAAAGCTACAATAGTCTTCATTGGGACCGGGATTTCATCTGTTTCCCATAACATACATCGTAAGGTAGTATTTTCCTTTTTAAAAGGAAAAAAGGGAAAGCACTGAGTGTGTGTGTGTGTGTGCATTTTCCCCTCCCCTCCCCCCAGCTATGAAATGAAAAACCCCTTCCCCAAATCCTGCTGTTCTGCCTCTTGCATTCCTACGCATAGCATGGGTGCACCTTATATTGATAGCTATGGAAATCCATTGTAGAAAACTTTAATACCTTTTTTCAGCAACTTTATTGCTTATCAGTTTCAACAAGGTGCTTCTGTTGCAAAAGTTAGCACTTTGTTATAAGGAAATTCATTTTTCGTTGTTTCCAAGAATAATGTGGTACTTTTATCAATGACATGAATTCTTAAAGTATACTCCATTCTCAGCGTAAAGATGCCTTTTTTTCCACAACTCTTAGCTTATAGGTGCACATGGACTGATTTCACATATCTTAAGCAGAGTAAAAAGTGCTGTTTAGCATGGTAATCCAGACTGGCTTCAGAATTTATGTGGCCAGCCTGGCTCTGTTATCTCCATATGCGAGCTGTGGACTCCACCTGACATAGTACAGAAGTGTGAGGGCCCCACCATGTTGTATCTCAAGGACACAATACAGGCATACCCCCAAGTGTAAGTTTGGAGTGACTTTGAAGCTGAGGAGGTGTGGATTTCTGTTAGGCTTTATGCAACGTAACTAGATGCTTATATAAAATTTCAAACAACTGATTTATAGACTGATAACAGGCTGGTGCAAGCTGATGTGACAGTGTCTTCTTCCATACTTGAAGCAAGAGTTCACTACAAAGTTTAGCTTGTGAACATTCATTTCAGTTTTCTTTCTTCCCACACCCAGATAGCATGGCATTAGCTTTTTAGTATTGTCTGTGTTCTACTAGTCAATTAACACCAACTGAAGTGTATTTAGCCCTGAAGAATTACAGTGTAACATTGGCTTTCTTAACGTGACAGAAAACCAAACTGCATCCTCTTCCAAAGACCTTAAATAGAACAGCAGTGTCATCCACTTGATGTTGCCTTTAATGTCATGCATTAATTTCTGATATGTGCCCTTGTGTCTGCTGTCTCACGGCGGGTTGGCCTGTCTCCTCCCTAAGGAACTTTACAGGAAATTGCTACAAATACACTCACTCAAGTACATCCATGTATATGCACATCTCTGTAAAAATTTGATACAGTGTACTGACAAATGAAATAGGGATCCTGTGATTAATTTCAATCCTTCTTATGATGAAGAGCGCCTTGACTAAGTTGTCTACTGGGGATCTTCAGTTGCTACAGCAAAGTGTATGAATGACCTGATGTGATGATGGCTAATGGATGAACTCCAGACCCATCTGTTGTCAAAAAAAACCCTAAAACAACTTATTTACATTTATTATTTGTAGTAATAGATATCGGGCAGATTAGTAAAATATATTTTGGGTGAATTGCAGTAAGAATTGCGTGGCTCTTGTCTTTGGACTTTCTGACCTTTCCTTTTGAAGTGATTTTAGCTCCTGTGGAAAATCCTAAATTGCTTTAGTACTGAGCAACAGTTAAAATACTGCATCTGGCCAGGCATTACCAAAACCAAGTGCCTCATCTCGACATGCAGGAACCACCTCAAATAGAGCTTGTAGTTCAGTCTCCATGCCATACTGGCAATCTCCCATGCATGCCAGCACAGCTGGCAATTCCAACAGTAATTTTTTTTAATTTGGATATGAGACTTTCCTGTAGGAAATGCAGGAAGATCATCCATTTCACATCAGGTCGTTCAGCAGCTCTCAACCCCTGAACGTGGGCAGTCTGGTTTTGGAGATGAGCTAGCAGTGAAAAACTTTAACGTTCTGTGTTCCATTACCTGTTTTAACAGCCTTATGTTTCTGCTTTCTTAGTAAAATATGTTGCTATGTCCTGTAGATATTTTTGCTTGCAGTACAAAAATGATGCTTGTCCTTCCAACAGAAAAAACAAACAAATATCTAAAATGATTTGTGACTACCATTTATTGGGCTATGCCTTTTTCCCATACATGAGCCATTTTGGCTGATAAACCAAGGTCTTGGTGAATGTACTTTCATAATTAAACTTTTGTGTGGGGCAGTTATCCAAATATATTGCCAGGAGCAGCTTTCTCCATGTTGGAATACTGTCAAATTACAAAATATTTTTTGTTAAGAGGGGGAAAATAACTTCAATCTTGTAGCTGGCTTTTCTGATCTGATTGAAAAAATAAAATTTCTTTTATAGTGGATTTTTAAACAGCATTTTTTTTTTCACAGCACTTACTGATTTTTATTAGCCTGTAATTGCATTATCATGCAATAAATATTATAAACATACAGTTTTACTTATCTGAACGTCCTACAGTTTTACTTATCTGAACGTCCTTTCAGAAGTCTGAAAGCAGTACTGGCTTTGCTGATGAAGTGAGTAGTCAGGATAATGCCTTTTCCACTTTCAAATATAACATTGACTTTCATCTTGTGTTAGGACTAAGACAATTTACTTACTAATAGCTGAGTTAAATAGAGGTGTTATTGTTTGTTTAAGAAATTATGGAAATTAACTTTGCTTAGATGATGTTTAACGTCCATGAAGGTTGTTCTGACTTCACTGGATGTAAATAACCTCTGATTACAGTATTGAATATTTTAAAGGATTTTGGTTTACATTAAATTATCATATTTAAACATTCTTGCCTATGTTTATAGAAGAAATTTGTTTTGTAACATTTGTTTTTGAATATGGTAAATAAAGTTTTTTAAAAATACTCTAAATGCTTCAAAATATGAATTCTGTGCAACTGCAGTGAGAACTAACTTCTAGTGTATTTAAGAGCTGCTGTTTTAGTTTCCATTGATTGTTATACATACCTTACCAGTGGCAGGGAATTTTTTTCTTTTGATATATTAAAATATAAATTTAATTTTGTTTTCAAGTTGAGTTGATATTCTCTCAAAACTTGGTCTCACTTTAATCAGATTTTTGAATTGGGTTATTTGCCGTATTTGCAGTAACCACAGCTAAATAACAGTCGCAGGCAGTGGGAAAGCAGAAATTATTCTTCTATTGCAACAACATGCAACAATACGTTGTAGAAAATAATTAAAAAGTCAGAGAACATAATTTCAAAGTTGGCTTCAGCTGTTGTATAGAAAATCACCACCCAGTTCTACTTCAGCTCTGTAAACAATGCAAACAGTAGCAAACCAAAAATCTTGTATTTATACAGACACTTGTTGGAAACTAAAATATCCGTTCCAAATGAGAAATGTTGTGGCATCATTTCTCGCTTGGCTGCTGCTAAATAGGGTAAAATGGCCCTGGTGTTTTTTACACTAACTTACCATATGACAGGTATCCATAGGAAGTATTATTAAAGTGTGATAGAAGGTACATATTTCAGAATTTCATGAATTCAAATGCAGTTTTATAGTGGTCATAACAAAAGTACATAGAGTCACTTGAAACCACATGTAATTTTCGAAGTAATTGGCTTATTGTCATGTACATATTAAACACTTCCCTTGGTAGGATTTTGTTTGCATAGCTCAGAACAATGTCATTGGAATAGAGCATTTTGTTTCTAGTTAAGTGACATTCACGGTGAATATATGTTGTCCTGAACATGTATAAATTAGGTTTGACTGTTGAGTTTGCAAATGGTTCAATGCATGATTGCCTCTGCATGCCTGACTTAACTGCTGAAACAAAGAGGATATAATGTTAAACTGATATCATGGATCTTGGTGCCTATAAAGAATAATCATAATAGATTACTAGTAAGGAACATACATTATTTACTGTTTCAAATACCTCAAATACTATTTTCTGCAGTTCTAAATCACACCGATAGGTTCTGTTTTATCTTCTGTATAATGTGAACATTGTAAATATTTCCTCATGCTACTTTCAAATTTTTCAAAAGAAGGAAAAATCATGTTCATCTGAAAGCAGTGAGATGACGCCTGTACTATTTCACTGCTTGCTGCACACATATTTGATTGATTTGCTGCAGGGTAATTGAACTTTGCCAAAAAGTTGAATAGACTTTACTCTTGCAGTACAAACAGTTGCCTAATCTCAGTAACTGTGTTTATGATTTGGCAGTAGGTTGTTGAATGCTAAGTAACAAGTCAGTGCAAAAAAAGGCCTTGCCTACATTCTGTTGATTATATATAGTATACAGCATTTGCTTAACATTTGGCTTTCTGCAGCAGCGTTTGATTTAATATTAGGACACTTATGTTATCTTTCCCTGTCCTATCTCAGTATATCATGCAATAAAAGCACATCAGTGTATTTTGCTGTTTTCCTCTGTCTTAGGAAATAACAAAAACTAAGAATCAAAGCCTTTGCCTTACCAACCATTTTCTCCCAATGGAAGCTTCATATGTCCCTGCTGGCTCCCAGGACCGGTTATGAGAAGCTTAAAGCAAGAAGGAAACAGGAACTCAGAAAACTTTTTTAGCATCTTCTCAGTAATGCAATCTGTGCATAAGAAGTAATCTGTACCAGATTGTCTCCCTGGCCTTTTCTGTGGTGTAGGATGTGTTTTCCCACAGAACAAGCCTTGGACCAATTCCACAAGTTAGTGGCTCCCAATTTTATTTTCCTTTATTTTCTTACTGAGCTGTCATCACTGGCGGTGGCGCAAGAACAGCTTTTTGCTGCGCACAAGGATTCCATTGTTTCATCAATGATTGCAAACTGTGAGCTCTGCGTATGTGGGGATTTGGGATCATGAGCCCCCAGCTGATCGTAGGACTGTTTAATACGAACTAAAAAACAGTACCTCACTCTCTATTACTTCATCATAAGACTCAAGCCTCAGTGAAAGGAATGGTGTAACATGAAGTCATTCCTGGCTTTTTCCTAGATGTAATTACAGAAATGGAAGGGGATTGATTTATCTACTTTCAGTCCTTGTCCCCTTGCCTTGCTGGCTTCATCACACACATGCAACCCTCTAGTGTTGGACAGGCACAAAAGGAGGGGTTGAATGCATGCATTTGGGGCCAGATACAGGTGTCAGTCTACCTTACCCACTTTTGCAGCTTTTTAACCTGAAATGTTAAAGCAGCCACCACATATAGATCATTTCCAAGATTAAAACATAGCAGACAGCATTTCTTGCCAAAACATTCTGTGAAAAGTGGTAGTGTTGGAAAAAAGGATGGTGTGACTTCAGCTCAAAAATTTAGCCCTGCTAGCACCCCTAAACTGTCTTCAGAAGTAATTTCTTTCCACTTACTATTAGAATTACTGTTATTTTTTATTTACTCTTCTCATTTTTGTATTATCTGTTCGCTTTTCTCTTCCTGGTTTTGTTGTAGTTATAGGTTCCTCTCCACAGAGGGATGAAGGTGAAATACTCTTGTCCCCTGAAAGAAAACCGTACGCAGAGCTGGCTGGACTAGATTTTTCTCATGCATCAACCTCACTGGAAGTTTAAATAAATTTAGAAAGTTCCACTCTGATGTCTACTGTCTCTCCCAGTAGTGATATTTATATCTCTAGATCCCCTTTTCACCAACAGTCTTGTGGACTTGTATTTTTGAACATTAGGTTGCCGTCTCTAAATGTACTTTTGCGTTGAACAGCAAAACGTGAAATCACGTTTTGGACTGTTTCCAAATCAACAGCTACAACTTTAAGAGTATAAAAGAGTGTATCCTTTTACTTTAAGAGTAGTAAAAGGATAATAAAGGCTGGGCAGACATGCATATTCATTTGCTGTTGGAGTAGGAACAGTAAGCAAATTCCTCTGTGAAAATACCTACCAAGTGGAAAAAATTGAAGGTAAATGTCAACTTTAAAATAAAAACAGCTGCTTTCCAGGCAGAAAGATGCTGACCCCAAACCTATAACTAAATCTGCTACTCTACACCTCTGCTGCTCTGAGAAGTCTCGCTGAATTTGAGAGGGTTTGACACAGACCCAGAAATCTGCGGCATCGTCGTTTGCGGTGTGTGGGCTGCAGTCAGTCTGCTGGGATAGCAGGAGCTGTGGGGCTGCGGAGAAGGCTAGTCATCTTGACAATAAGTACAGTCCAGTGAATTGCACGTTAGTGTTGCTGTGGGTTTCACCCGTAGTAAATATCTGTAAAGTGTAAAGTTCTGTACTCTGGTGAGCGTGTGGGTGCTCACCAAAATTTAGAGTGGTTGAGATGCAGACACAGGGACAGCTGAGAACAAACCGTGGCTGCAATATGTACACGCTCGTAATGATCTCCTGTAAATCACCTTCCCAGAGGGTATCACATGAAATACAGCATAAGTTCTCCTGTCCCCAACACGTCCCTGCAGCCTGGCTGTGCAAGCTGTGCCAGCGTTAGAGTGTCCAACATGCTGCCGTCGGTGCCCTTCGGAACGGCTTCCTATAGCCTGTCCAGAGCAAAGCAGCTGAGGCAGTATGAGGAATACAGTTACTGGCCGTAGGAATTGTTAGTAACATCTGCATAACTTTTTTGTCCAGATAGTTTTTAATAATTTAAAACTTGTGCAAAATGAAAAAATGTCTAACGTTTAACGAGATATACTTAGTAATGGTAAAAAGCTAGCTGCTTAGTTTTTCCATTTTTGTTATTTTTTTTCTCCTAACTTGCTGATTTTTGCATTTTATTTAAAAACTTTGTTGAAAAATGATCCCTCCTTGTTCTGTTCCCCCAAAAATCTTGCAGATGCGCTTACATCAAAGTATATACAAGCTGCTATTTTTAGCGTGCAGATTCTTTAAAAGAAAAGTAGGTTTAGAAATATTTTCTAATGTTATGTTCTTTCTTAATTTTTTCAGCCATATATAATGCTATTTATAGCTCAGTTTCTCTTATTCATTTGTGCTGTAGCATCATTACCTTTCAGCCTTTTCACATTGGCAGCTTGGCTCTGTGAAAACTTGCCATTCACCTACCTCCCTGGAGCAAAGATTTGAATTTGGGTCTCCTCCATTGCTGGTGGATGCTCTATAAATTACATAAGGCCAGCAGTTTTCAGCTTTTTCAAATTGCAATTTCCCTTGGAATTTCCTACACCATATGCAGATTTCTGTGTGTAGTGAATTTAAACCTACTTACTGTAGACTTATTGTTAGCCTATAGACTGCTTAATTAGCTTCTTATGGGTTGCTGAAAAGCAGACCACTAGCTTTTGGCTAGGGCAAGTGTAAGTTTGAGCTACTCCTCTTGGTCTTTTGTATGCTGGTGGCACCAACCTGCCTATTGCAGCTTTGGATCACAAATTCCATCTGGAACCTGGAAAGTCCTTTGTCAGTGAAAGTTTTGTTGCTTGTTTTTTATCAAAGCTGGCATAGTCCCCTGAGCAATTTTAGCTTCACCGAATTACTCTTCAGTACAAAACAGTTTATTTAAAAAATTCCTGAGCAGGAGTAGTTGATGGCTCTGTGATTGATTAAAGTGATGTCTCCTAGCAACTTGGCTGAAAAAAAAGATCATCTAGTGTTGTTCATTTGTCCAGAGATTTCCAGATTTCTATGCAAAAATATATTTATCTTCATGAAGCTAACTAAGCCATCTTATTTCACTGGTACTTCCTACACCAAAGTATAACAATTTTGTGCCATACTGTTGAAAATGCCTCTTTAAGAGCAACATTAAATGTATAAACCACATTCTTAGTCTCCTATTCCAGGTGCAAGATACATGCGAAATGCTTCTCCCCCTTCACCCCCTAGACTGCCAACTGAGTAATGCTACCCGAAATCCCAAAGCATTCCCTTCCCTCTGGCCTGCCCTTTCCCAGCTGCTCT